TGCTCCTGAAGTATGGCTGCAAGATCTTTTCTCCAGTGTTGAATGACTATGCCAAGAGGCTGAGTCCTAGATGCCCTCTTTGAGATCAGAGCTACAACACTGCATTTCTGGTGTATTCTTTTGATCTGGGTCCTCTGTTCTGGACCACCTCTTTTACAAAAGTTCATGCCCTTGTTGCTTGCCTGTAGCTTGGATTTGTGATCTTTTGCTGGAAAGATGATCTACCTTGGTTTCTCCTTAGATTTCTAATCACTAATTAGTCTGGCACTACACTGCTTCCTCTTCTACAATCTTGACTGGTCTTCAAGAATCATGCACAGAAGAAGATGGAAGCAAGGGTTCATAATGGAAGATAAATGTATAATCATAAGTATAAAATATTTTTAAAATGTCACGGTTCTATAAGGAGTGTCAGGACTTTCGTGAATTGATATAGAATGGCATAAGCAGAACCAAAATGTAAATGAAAACACCAACAAAAGGCAGTTGAACTGAGTTCCTGGTAAACTGATGGCAGAACACACATTCCTCATTTCATTAAAGCAATGTGAAATACATAGGTATATACCAGGGGTGGGGAACCTGTGCCCTTGAGGCCACATATGGCCATCTAGGTCCTCAAGTGCGGCCCTTCGACTAAATCCAAACTTCACAGAACAAATCCCTTTAATAAATGGATTTGTTCTGTAAAACTTGGACTCAGTCAAAAGGATGCATCCAAGGACCTAGAAGGCCACATGTGGCCTCAAGGCTTCAGGTTCCCCACCCCTATATGTTATCAGAGTGAAAGCAAAGCCAACAAAAAGGTTGTTTTAAAAATCATATTGAGGAAAAGGAGAATAATCAAAGATGGGAGATGGATGCTTTAGCTCATACAAAGGTAACACATTAGGGAGAGAAGGCAAAGCTGTTCAAGTCTCTGCTTCAGTTTTCTCCACAAAAGAGAATGATCTCCAGACTAGAAAGGACAGAACAAAAATGGCAAATAGGGAGGTGTACCCAGAAGAAGTCAGAGACTATCTAGCTTCCCTTGGAATTTAAGTTATTGGGATCCTTACTACTGATAGCATTGATAGATTTGATTACTGAAACCACCAGCTGTGATCTTTGAAATTTCATGGGACTAGGAGAGATGCCTTAGGATTGGAGAATAAAAGCTAGAAAGTAGCTTAGAGACCATTTAGTCCTGGCCTTCATTTTATAGATGAATAACTTAGGCCCTGGGTTAATTGACCTGCCTAAGGAACTATGGAACGTATTTCTTTTCCTGACTGTAAGTCCAGTGTTCTTTCCACTGTCTTATGCTGTTGCCAGTTAAAAACAAATGGGAAAGGAATGGACTCTTCAAGCCAGTGAACCTGACTTAAAGTCTTGGCAGAATCCTAGAGTATGTTACTAAAGAAGTGGTTAGTGAACATCTAGAAAAGGTAGTGATGATTATAGAGAACACAGAATCATTAATAATAGATCTAACCATATTTCCTTTTTAGACAGAGCTGCTAGACTGGTAGTTGAAGGAATGTGGTGAGCTAGGTACCTAGTACAGTTAGGTGAATTAAAATAGTTATTAATAGCCCCAAGTCAACTTGAAAAGAGATTTCTGGTGGAGTATATGTGGATCTGCAGTTTGCCCTGTGTCAGTAACTTTGTCAAACACAGATGGTATATTTATCAAAATTGCAGAAGACAATAATAATAGCTAGGCTAGAATTTTTATAGCACTTCAAGGTTTGCAAAGCACTCTTCTAATATTATCTCATTTGAGCCTTACAACAACACTATGAAGTAGGTGCTGTTGTTATCCCCATTTTACAGATGAAGAGACTGAAGCAGACAGAGGCTAAGGGACCTAACCAGGGTTATACAACTAATTAGTAACTGAGGCTGTATTTAAATTTAGGTCTTCCTGACTCCAGATTCAGTTCACCATCTACTGGGCCACCTAGCTACCACAAAGGTGGGAGGAACGCCCAACTTACTGATCCTTGAGAGTAATAAAAAAAGATTTTGATGGGCTAGCTTAGAGCATTGCATTGAATCAGCTAAAAAGCAGCTTAATAGCTATTACTTAAAATCCAAAATTCATTTGGTGATAAGAAAAGTCTATCTGTTGAATTGAATGGATTATAAAACCTTCAGCATACTTAGACTTGCCATAGGAAAATAACTCTTCAGGGAAACAGTAAGAACGTTTCAGGTGTTTGCCCATAAATGCAGTGTGGGGTTCTAACATACTTATAAATTTCCTCCAGCAACATGAGTGGGAAGACTTTTTGTGACACAGACGTGACTTCACTGCTTCTTGCTTGCTATTTGTACTTCCATCTTCTCTAACCTTTACCATAAACCTGCATTCAGAAATATTTATACTAAATCAAGGAACAAATCTTATGAAAGATGAGAGAGGGGTGGCTCAATCTGGTTAAACTTTTGGTCTTCTAAAGGTAAAATGATTTTAAAAGATGAAATGCCTCAAGAACCAGAAGTGTTGATAATGGCAGCTCAAAAAATAAAACTTAGAAAGGCTCCTGTGTCAGCAATGTATTCATTGCATTTGGTTTTGTTTGTTTGCTTTTTAACCAACAACAACTTCCAAAAAATGAGTGTTTTCTGAATCCTCTTGACTCTACAAAGGACACAAAGTATAAAAAAAAAATTTTCGGTTATACTACATTGTCTATAGTTTCTTTTGTTTAACTTTTTTTGTTTGCTATTCATGCATTGGCAAAAAGATCTTGGATTTCTAAACTATTTGTAACATAAATTAAAAGCATTTAAAAGCAAATTGTAAGTAAATATTACCATTAGAATCATAGGATCTAGGGTTGGAAGAGACTTTAGAAATTATTTAGTACAACCCGTTCATTTTGCACATGAAGAAAATAAGATGCAGAAAGGTCAAAGTAAATTTGTATGACTTTGAATAAACTTTTACATTAAAAATTTCAAATATGATACTTTTATGGACATAGCAATTTAGAATATATTTTGTTTTTAAACATTACAAAATGACTTCATGCTTATGAAAAATAACTATTAAATCAAAATTCACTTTTTTCCCCAAGTTGCCTTCCCTCAAATCTAAGGACTTCAAAATTTCTGATCATTTTGTATTTCCATTGAAAATAAGCCACATACACAAAATAAAATAACTATATTTTGGGAGTCTGTGTTGTCCTTTGATGTGTATGGAGAGCTTCAAGAATGGAAATATATTTCTCAGATTCAGATAAGCAACTCATTTGTAACTTAGGATCTTAGAGAGTTGACTGGGAAACTGGAAGGCTGTGCCCATCGTCATGTAGCCAATACAGGTCAGAGGCAGGATCTAAACCCCAGATCTTCCTGCCATCAAATCCAGCTGTCTGTACCATGTTGCTGTTGCTCTACCAATGTAAATGAGTAAGTGGCCAATCCAAATTGAATGGCACAGACAATAAATGCTATTATAGTTCAAAGAAGGAAGCGCTCACAGTGTCTAGCAATGTGATGTAGTGCCGGACTTAGGAAAACCTGAATTCAGATTCAGTTGTGTGACCATTAGACTCCCAAGATGTAAAATAGGAACAGTAACAACTGTAGTACGTACCTCACAAGATTATTGTGAGGAACAAATGTGATTGCATAAACCACTATGTAAATCTGGGAAAAAAAACCTCTCAGCTATTAATATTTATTATTAATATTCAGAGAGGGAGTTTCTAGAAAAACTTTCATGGACAATGTGGAAGCTGAGTAGCCTTTGAAGGATGAACTTCAGAAAAAAGATAGGGCATAATAAGGGAAGTAGATATGGCAGAAAGGGGGAAAGTGGTGTTCAGAGTAGGATGAAGAGACCTACTTGACAGAAACAGGGAGATTTCACATATGAGAGCAATGGTAAATAGCAGGAAAGGTCAGACTATAAAGTCCCAGATAGTAATATTGTGAGATCTTAGAAAAAGGAATTAAGATGATATTGAAAATGTTTCCTATCAATTTTGTAGACATTGAGAAGCAATTGAAGTATCCAAGCAGGGAATTAGAAGAGTAACAGGATAAAAGCAAATATTTGATGGATTTTGAACTGCCTCCATGTGCAGGATGAATTGGAAGGGGAAGAGAGTGGAGGAAGCCAGGAGATTATTTAGGAGACTTTTGTAGTAGTTATGTCTTGAAGAAATAAGAACCTACGCTAGGTCAATTGTAGTGGTAATAGACTCTGCCTTTAAGATGCCAGGCTCTGATACCACTTCCCAGCCACTTTCCCCTACTGTTCCCCACCTTTTCAAGCTTTCTTTGGCATGTTTTCTTCTGTGCTTAGAATGTAAGCCACTTGAGGGCAGGGCCTGTCTTGCTTATATTTGTATCACATGGTAAGAAAGGCATTAAGAAGGAAAACTTGATAGGACAATGACTGCTTGAATATGGAGACAAGGGAGTGAAAGGAGTCAGTCCACCCTAGAGCTCCTAGCTTGCATGACTCAGAGAATGATAACAGAAACAACACTACCACCCTGGAGTTGTGTGATATTTTATGGTTTTCTTAATGCTGTTATATATGTTCAGTTTTTTGATGCTTACTACAGGAGTTATCTTCTCCCATGATTCTCCAAAGCACAAATTCCTTCTATGATATTCCTGACAAGCAGTTATCTGGCCTCTTTTTAAACACTTCCAGTGACAGGGAACTCACTCTTTGATGAGACAGACGATAGAACTGTTTCCTTATTTAGCTTAGATCAGCCTTTCTTGAACTTCTGGTGGAATGAGGCCCCTGACTGGACTATGACTCTAAATGGGTATAACTTACTTAAAATCCTTAGAAAAGGTAAAGAGGTGATAAAGAGGTGACTCATTTTGTACCACGTAACTTACAGGATTTAAATAATGGTATGTTTTGTTAAACATTTCTCTAATTTTAAGAAATTATTTCCAAATGCTTTGTTTTATCTTAATTGTATATGAAATAGTTAATGCAAGCTAACCTTTTTTGTGTGTTTTCTTTCCTGTCTTTAAAGTACCAAAAGAATTGGTGGAGCTCCATTTGAAACTGATGAGGAAGATTGGTAAATCTGTAACAGCAGACAGATGGGAAAAATATTTGATCAAGGTAAATATTTTAAAAATCATATATTAATGAGATATTGCCTTTCTCAATCTAAACTTTATAATTTTACTTTGCACAAAATAAAAATGTGAAAAACTAGTTTTGTTGATATCATGTAAAATAATTATACATATTACAAAGTAGATGAGTAGATGGCAGAATTGTTGTGTGATATCTGTAAGTGGATATTCAGTTTTTGCTAGACGGAGTTGATCTGTGCTCTTACAAAGTAGTAGAAACTATACAGTGACAACCTTGGATGCCAGAAAATGTTGAATACATAGGTGATTCTTGTAACTGAAAATATCTCAGAAGGTAAGTAATATATTTGTCCTGGTCTTTATAAAAGTCAGCTCCTAAGGGCAGCTAGGTGGTGCAGTGAGTAGAGTTCTGGCCTTGGAGTCAGGAGGACCTGAGTTCAAATCCAGCCTCAGACACATAACACTTATTAGCTGTGTGACCCTGGGCAAGTCACTTAACCCTGATCACCTCACCCTCCCCCCCCCCAAAAAAAAATCAGCTCCCAAAGACCCCTAGGTCCCTAAGGCAACCATATTCCAGGGTATATGTAGGTCAGTAGTTTGGGAGAATGAAGTTCCAGCAGGGTCCAAGTGCATCAACTCTGTATCAGAAAGGGTCTTACTCAGAGTGATTCAAATAAAGATCCAGTTTAAATTTTATCTGGACCTTCCAGGGTGACCATGGATTGGTTCCTCAACCAATATCCTTTTCAAAATTGACCTCAAGGATTACAGAAGCTTTAGAAACTAAACCCACCTGTTTTTTGTTTTTTGTTGTTTTTTTTTTAGCTGGCTGCAACATTATCTCTATCTTCAGGGCACATTTAATGGTTTGTTCTGGTTTATATCCACTTGGAAGGACCAGGATGTTATGTAGCTGTTCAAACCCCTAAGAGTATTTTTAACTTTTTAGTTACTTTTTCTTAATAGTTGACATTCACTGATTTCATATAAGCAGATTTTTGACCCTTGTAATCACCAGACCCATGAAAAGTGAAGCTTGTAACTCCCAACCACGCATGAGAGAAGGCCAACATTTCTCTCTCTCTCACACACACACACACACACACACACACACACACACA